GTAAGTTAAGAGTAGGTACTCTTTAATTCGATTTAAAGGGTCTACCCTCTTATATTGATTTTGTATTTTTATCACTTAATTTGAGACGAAGTGGTGTACAGAAATCTGAGGATTATAGCTGACATTCGTTTTTGGCTTCTAAAAAGACTGACATTTCTAGGCTATGATAAGGCAAACTTTTGCTCAGACAATTACAACTAATGCGATGTGATCTTGCAAGCATTGATACCGTGTGACTTGCATTTATGACTTGCGATGTGATATTGCAGGTATTGTTGCCTCCGTCCAAGACCAGCAACAAACATTAGAAGCCACGTTAGAATACCACCGGCATAGAATCGATGAAGTGGAAGCTATTCAAGCTGATGATGCCGAGGAAATTAAGGAGAACTACAATAGCTTGGTGGAAAAAATGAAGTAGTTGATTGGTCAGTTAAGAGCAGGTTTTTATTTCGTATTTTTATCACTTACTCTAGGAAGAAGTGGTGTACAGAAATCTGAGGATTACAGCTGACTTTCGCTTTTAGTTTCTAAACAGACTGACGTTTCAAGGCGATGGTAAAGCAAACTTTTACTCAGGCATTTAGGACTTTCGATGCGATCTTTTATGTTGCTGTGTGTAGGCTATTACCTACACAGTGCTATGGGTATGAGTAAGAGGGTGATACAATGCATCTTGCTCTGGTATAAGAATGAAAATTGGGGGATAGGATAATTGATTATTTTTAAATTATGCTATACAGCTGTTGTTACGTCATGCTTATTGATGTACCTCACTGCTACTTATTCAAGGCCCTTTTATTTACTAAAAGCAAACTTGTTTGAGAGAGTCATCCCCGCTTTTCTGAGCTTTTATTTACGTCCACAAATTTTCCTTCATCGCTGCAACTTGCAGCATGCTTGACATTTGCACATTTACCGACTTGGCTAATTAGTGTGTTCATACACATTGTTCACACACATCGAATTTTTGCTTTGACCACTAATTACAACTTAATTAATTGATCAATTACTTTAGGAGTGGAATATTCCTCGGAAAGGTTAGTGTGGATACTGTTAGAGTTCATGTCAGAAACAAGTGGGCCCATGGTAATCTGAATGAATGGACAGAGACTTTCTTCAATGACTGCTTTACTAAATTTGAGAATTTAGTGAAGAGTGTTGGCATTAGTGGGAAAGAGAAGAGCACACTAGACCAGCTGCATGATTGGCAAACAAAAGGTGAAATCGCACTGCGAGTACAAATTAATGTACTATAAGAATAGGATAAGTGGTCTGTTGGTTGTCTTGCTTAAATTTTATGATTGTCTAATGGTGATATAGTGCATTTTAGGTCCTCTTGATGCAATTGAGCATTTTTTCAAAGAGAGGAGAATGAGGTGCCTGAAAGTTTAAACTGATTTCTTCTTTCATCAGAACTAGTGTTTTTTTCAAAGGTTTATGCCCACTCACGTGTGACCTCCATTCTGGGAGTACTCAGCATCTGTGGCTATGAGGGTCCTTCCTTTGGGGTCCCTTCTCTTGAGCATCCCTCCTATGAGAATGTTCTTTGTGATGGAGGCTCCCTAACAATTAACATGGTCATCAATTATATGAAATCTTGAGGAACAATTTCACCATTTTTTTCTTTAAGGCTGTGAAACAGATATCGGGTATGCTGTTGATGAACAACTTTTGAATTTGGTGCAACAAACACTGGGGCACTTCCGTAAAGAATTTGAAGCTCTTCAATCAACTGTTGCCTCCATCCAAGACCGGCAACAAACATCAGAAGCCACGTTAGAATACCAGCAGCAGAGAATTAATAAAGTGGAAGCTATTCAGGCTGAAGATGCCAAGAAAACGAAGGAGAACTACAATAGCTTGGCAGAAATGATCAAGAACTGGATAAGTAAGTTAAGAGTAGGTACTCTTTAATTCGATTTAAAGGGTCTGCCCTTTTATATTGATTTTGTATTTTTATCACTTAATTTGAGACGAAGTGGTGTACAGAAATCTGAGGATTATAGCTGACATTCGTTTTTGGCTTCTAAAAAGACTGACATTTCTAGGCTATGATAAGGCAAACTTTTGCTCAGACAATTACAACTAATGCGATGTGATCTTGCAAGCATTGATACCGTGTGACTTGCATTTATGACTTGCGATGTGATATTGCAGGTATTGTTGCCTCCGTCCAAGACCAGCAACAAACATTAGAAGCCACGTTAGAATACCACCGGCATAGAATCGATGAAGTGGAAGCTATTCAAGCTGATGATGCCGAGGAAATTAAGGAGAACTACAATAGCTTGGTGGAAAAAATGAAGTAGTTGATTGGTCAGTTAAGAGCAGGTTTTTATTTCGTATTTTTATCACTTACTCTAGGAAGAAGTGGTGTACAGAAATCTGAGGATTACAGCTGACTTTCGCTTTTAGTTTCTAAACAGACTGACGTTTCAAGGCGATGGTAAAGCAAACTTTTACTCAGGCATTTAGGACTTTCGATGCGATCTTTTATGTTGCTGTGTGTAGGCTATTACCTACACAGTGCTATGGGTATGAGTAAGAGGGTGATACAATGCATCTTGCTCTGGTATAAGAATGAAAATTGGGGGATAGGATAATTGATTATTTTTAAATTATGCTATACAGCTGTTGTTACGTCATGCTTATTGATGTACCTCACTGCTACTTATTCAAGGCCCTTTTATTTACTAAAAGCAAACTTGTTTGAGAGAGTCATCCCCGCTTTTCTGAGCTTTTATTTACGTCCACAAATTTTCCTTCATCGCTGCAACTTGCAGCATGCTTGACATTTGCACATTTACCGACTTGGCTAATTAGTGTGTTCATACACATTGTTCACACACATCGAATTTTTGCTTTGACCACTAATTACAACTTAATTAATTGATCAATTACTTTAGGAGTGGAATATTCCTCGGAAAGGTTAGTGTGGATACTGTTAGAGTTCATGTCAGAAACAAGTGGGCCCATGGTAATCTGAATGAATGGACAGAGACTTTCTTCAATGACTGCTTTACTAAATTTGAGAATTTAGTGAAGAGTGTTGGCATTAGTGGGAAAGAGAAGAGCACACTAGACCAGCTGCATGATTGGCAAACAAAAGGTGAAATCGCACTGCGAGTACAAATTAATGTACTATAAGAATAGGATAAGTGGTCTGTTGGTTGTCTTGCTTAAATTTTATGATTGTCTAATGGTGATATAGTGCATTTTAGGTCCTCTTGATGCAATTGAGCATTTTTTCAAAGAGAGGAGAATGAGGTGCCTGAAAGTTTAAACTGATTTCTTCTTTCATCAGAACTAGTGTTTTTTTCAAAGGTTTATGCCCACTCACGTGTGACCTCCATTCTGGGAGTACTCAGCATCTGTGGCTATGAGGGTCCTTCCTTTGGGGTCCCTTCTCTTGAGCATCCCTCCTATGAGAATGTTCTTTGTGATGGAGGCTCCCTAACAATTAACATGGTCATCAATTATATGAAATCTTGAGGAACAATTTCACCATTTTTTTCTTTAAGGCTGTGAAACAGATATCGGGTATGCTGTTGATGAACAACTTTTGAATTTGGTGCAACAAACACTGGGGCACTTCCGTAAAGAATTTGAAGCTCTTCAATCAACTGTTGCCTCCATCCAAGACCGGCAACAAACATCAGAAGCCACGTTAGAATACCAGCAGCAGAGAATTAATAAAGTGGAAGCTATTCAGGCTGAAGATGCCAAGAAAACGAAGGAGAACTACAATAGCTTGGCAGAAATGATCAAGAACTGGATAAGTAAGTTAAGAGTAGGTACTCTTTAATTCGATTTAAAGGGTCTGCCCTTTTATATTGATTTTGTATTTTTATCACTTAATTTGAGACGAAGTGGTGTACAGAAATCTGAGGATTATAGCTGACATTCGTTTTTGGCTTCTAAAAAGACTGACATTTCTAGGCTATGATAAGGCAAACTTTTGCTCAGACAATTACAACTAATGCGATGTGATCTTGCAAGCATTGATACCGTGTGACTTGCATTTATGACTTGCGATGTGATATTGCAGGTATTGTTGCCTCCGTCCAAGACCAGCAACAAACATTAGAAGCCACGTTAGAATACCACCGGCATAGAATCGATGAAGTGGAAGCTATTCAAGCTGATGATGCCGAGGAAATTAAGGAGAACTACAATAGCTTGGTGGAAAAAATGAAGTAGTTGATTGGTCAGTTAAGAGCAGGTTTTTATTTCGTATTTTTATCACTTACTCTAGGAAGAAGTGGTGTACAGAAATCTGAGGATTACAGCTGACTTTCGCTTTTAGTTTCTAAACAGACTGACGTTTCAAGGCGATGGTAAAGCAAACTTTTACTCAGGCATTTAGGACTTTCGATGCGATCTTTTATGTTGCTGTGTGTAGGCTATTACCTACACAGTGCTATGGGTATGAGTAAGAGGGTGATACAATGCATCTTGCTCTGGTATAAGAATGAAAATTGGGGGATAGGATAATTGATTATTTTTAAATTATGCTATACAGCTGTTGTTACGTCATGCTTATTGATGTACCTCACTGCTACTTATTCAAGGCCCTTTTATTTACTAAAAGCAAACTTGTTTGAGAGAGTCATCCCCGCTTTTCTGAGCTTTTATTTACGTCCACAAATTTTCCTTCATCGCTGCAACTTGCAGCATGCTTGACATTTGCACATTTACCGACTTGGCTAATTAGTGTGTTCATACACATTGTTCACACACATCGAATTTTTGCTTTGACCACTAATTACAACTTAATTAATTGATCAATTACTTTAGGAGTGGAATATTCCTCGGAAAGGTTAGTGTGGATACTGTTAGAGTTCATGTCAGAAACAAGTGGGCCCATGGTAATCTGAATGAATGGACAGAGACTTTCTTCAATGACTGCTTTACTAAATTTGAGAATTTAGTGAAGAGTGTTGGCATTAGTGGGAAAGAGAAGAGCACACTAGACCAGCTGCATGATTGGCAAANAATACTCTTATAAGAAGGAATAATAGAGAGGTTTAGCAAGAGGACGGGAACGTCAGTTGACAACGGCGCGCGCAGCAAAAATACCGTTCTGAAGTTGCTGCCATCAACATCTCAAGCAATATTTGATTCAACATTTTTCTCATGTTTCCACTAAGTCTCCTTTAGAACGAAGAATAACCATAGTGGTACATTTTTCTCAACTCCGCCGCTTTCCCAACACGACTAATACGTTTCCTTAATTCGCGAACTACTCACGCCGAGTCGCGTTGATTCACTGAAATTTGAAGATCTGTCAAACCACAAATTAGCAAGAACGCTCTGATTGGTGCGACATCAAAAAATACTACAATCTGATTGGTTTGTGATACACCAAAAAATTGCGCTAATCACATTACTTTGAGATACACCAAAAAAAGATGCACCAATCAGATTGCTTAGAGATACACCAAACTGCGCTGATCAGATTACACTACACCAAACTACACCCATCTATACACTAACATAGAGTTTTTTTTTTTTTTTTTTAAAGTAACTCCATAGGAGAGCGTAAAACGGCTGTGTAGGAACATGTTTTGTTATTAGGGTTATGCATTTCGATTTAATAAAAACAAATAAAGAATATTGGGGGCTTAACTATTGGTTTTTATTGCGGTTTGTTTGTTCTGTTTTGCTTTCTTGAGAAAATGTTTACTGGGCGAGTAGCCGTTCACCACTTCGGCTACACGAACTCCAGAGGGGGAGAGGTGTGGGTGTAGTACTTCCCTTTATATTTTACATGGATATGATCTCTATAAGAGCCAAGCAGATGATTTTTCGAACTAGGTTAGTTTTAAAGGGCTTTTGTGAAACAACAACAAAGCCCCAAAATGTTTTTCTTGAGTTAAGAAAAGAACGTTTACTCCAAATGGAAGCAATTTTGCCTAACACTTCTCTGCTGCTGAATGCACTGAGAAAAAAAATGATCTCCATGAAGTAGGACTTGATCTATATCTATTATTATTATTATTATTATTATTATTATTAATTATAATAATTATTATATTCTTTTGCCTAACACTTCTCTGCTGCTGAATGCACTGAGAAAAAAAATGATCTCCATGAAGTAGGACTTGATCGATATCTATTATTATTATTATTATTATTAATTATAATAATTATTATATTCTTTTGCCTAACACTTCTCTGCTGCTGAANTGAATTGAAATTGAAATTTTTAGAAAATTGGAGGAAACCACTCACGCTCAAAAGTACGAGAAAACGCATAGAAAAAAATCAAAATGCCAGAGACGAGGGAAGAAAGCCAAACGACAGTTCTCGCCGAGGAAAACCAAACAAGCGTTACGAAAGAAAACCAAAACAGGTATCAATGCCGAAAAAGGTCAAGCATCTTTTCCCGAAATCCAAACCATTGTAGCCTATACAGACGACGAACTGGCCTCTTTTAGATACAACATGGTTTCAAAAAACACTAGACGGCAAATTCACAAATTCGAGTGGTCGCAAAACTGTCATCCAAGCGCTCAGTGATGATTTCGACCCAGTGGAGATATCAGAGCTCACTGGCCACTCCAATCCGGAATCCATATCCAGCTACAGCCATAATCCTCTGGAAAAACAGCGGCGAATGTCGAATAAGTTGGCCGGTTTCAACCCACGCCAAGCACGACAACTACCAACGGCTATTCAAGTCATGCTTTACGGGAGATTGTTCTCAATAGCTCAGCCACGCCAAGCAACACAGCAGCTACTAGTGACCTTGACAGCAATGCCAGTCGTTCTAGTTACCTGATGGCAGGAGCAGTTGGCGGAATGTTTACTGGAGTAACTTTTAATAGTTCTCCAGTAAATATTTCCATAGACTTTCAGTCCAGCATTGCTCTTCTGAGCTTTTATTTAGTCCATAAATTTCCTATATTGCTGCAACTTGCATCATGCTTGACATAATTACACTGCACATTTACCGATTTGGCCAATTTGTACTTTCATACACATTGAAAGAGAATTTTTCCTTTGACTACTAATTTTAACTTAATTAATTGATCAATTACTTCAGGATTGAGATATTCCTCGAAAAGGTTATCGTAGTTCTCTGAACGTTTTCATTGTTGAATGGCGTGGTGAGGTTGCTATGAAGATAGAGTATTTATACTTTTCTTCAGAGGCATCTAATATGCTTCTGATGTGTATCCCGCTAAATATTTCCACAACTGTATACTTCATTGATAGAGGTCAATGCTTTTTTTTTTTTTTTTACGCTTAGCATCTCCTCCAAAGAAGCAGTTTGATTTGGAATCTTTTCGCACCAAACTTGCAGACCATTATAAAAGGACAGCAAGGGTGCAGACATCTGTGTGGTCAGAGAAAAATAAAGTGTGTATTGACGAGGTATACTCACGTCTTTCCATGATTAAAGAGGAATGCGATGCAGGTTGCGAGGCGGGATGCGCGGAAAAGCACGCCGTTCCTGCAACTTCCCGGCAGCTATTCGACAAATTGAAGAACGGTCGTGAGACGAAGAGGATACTTGTCGATGGACAGGCTGGAATTGGAAAGTCTACTTTTGTGATGAAGCTCTCTCTTGATTGGATTGAGTCTCTTGAGGAAACCAATCCTCTGAAGAAATTCAAACTGGTTCTGTTGGTCAAGCTTCGGGAAGTCTCTCATTGTAAGACATTAGAAGAAGTAATCCGCTCTTCTGACCTTCTCCCTGAAGAAGATGAACACGTCATACTTGATTTGCTTGACTACATTACTGAGAATCAGAAAGAGGTCCTCTTTGTCTTCGACGGATACGATGAGTATGGCATGCGGAAAGATTCTGATGTTTTTAAGATCTTCAAGAGAAAAAAATTTCGAAACTGCTGTGTTCTGGTGACGACGCGGTCCTCACAGGGCGATGACCTTCGGGAATTCGCTGATGTGCAGGCTGAGGTTACTGGGTTTAGTTTAGAAGACATCGAAAAGTACTTGATCAAACAACTCGGACAAGAAGAGGCAGAGGCGCTGCTACATCACCTTAAGAAACAAAGGTTGATTGATACTGCGAAAGTCCCCATACTGTGCCTGTTTTTCAGTATTCTATGGAAGGAGAAGAGAGAAAAGTTAACGACAGAGAATCGGACGACGGTATTCTTGGAAATTGTTCAGTGCATTTTGGACTATGGTTATGGAAAGGGTGCGTCTGACCAGCCCAGAACTGTTGAGGATAGTAAGGACATCCTTGCTGATATTGGAGAGGTAGCTTTGGAAGGTCTGTTGACCGATGATCTTCTTTTTGAGTATGGCAAACTAAAGCAAATAAAGGGCTGCAATGGCATTATTAAAGGCTTCCTGCAAATCATAGAGGATACTGAGAACATTCGGCCTTCTGAAAGAGTGTCCTTCATTCACAAAACTATTCAGGAATTTCTAGCGGCTTTGTTTGTTGTGCACAAATTTGTCCCTAAAGGTAATCTTGGCTGGCTGCAAGAGCAAGCTAAGGACTGTGAGAGTTGTCTTCGACTTGAGAATGTCTTTCTTTTTGTCAGTGGATTGTCCGACGTTGGGGTTGAATTGGTTTTAAGACATTTGGCAGTTGTCGAGAAGGAGGACCAAAACCTTCAGTTTATGCAGACAGTCGTTTTGCCGGGCACAAGTGATACAACATGCTATGATCTCACCTACCTTCAAGAAAGATTTCACGACTTGGTATTTGCGTTATTTGATGAAGTTCAATCAGAAGGAAGGTTATTGAGGCATTACCTCTCTTGTACAGGTGGTGTGATGGTACTTTCGGAAAGACTTGTGAAGAACCTTTTGGAGTGCAAGGATGATATCTATGATGTTCTCCAAGTCGAAATTGCCACGGTAATTTTCAAGACACCAAAGCATCATCTTACCTCCCTGGATGAGGACTTTTTAAAGTTCTTTGATAATTTAGACGTAGCAGTCAAGGTTACAGAAAATTCCCAAGCCCTCCAACTAGGCGACTTTTACAGGAAGTTCTTTAACTGGGGTGGTTTTGGCTGTATGTGCAATTTCAGTGCTGTGCTTTTTTCAAATGAAGAAAGCTTTTCGTTTTACATCACTGATCTTCTCGTGGCTTGTGAGTTTCATGAACGTATGTTCACTGGATATAGTTTTTACGAATACCCCGTTTTATATCCCAACTACGAATGCCAAAAACCTGTTCTCCTTGAACATTTAGTACCTCAGGAATATCTCTGCAAAACACCAGGTGAAGTCAGATCACTTCTTAACGCAAAGACCCCATCGTCTGCTGAATATTTGTTGAAGTACCTGAAATCCTTGGAATGTTTTACTACTTCAAGCAGAGTGGTACTTACAGCATTTGGTATCATTGCTGGGAAATCAAGGTATTTCAATTCTGTAAAACTACGAATTGGAAAGGGTGGTGATTTTTGTGATTTTCTAGAGCCAGCCAAGAACTTAAAGGATTGTTCAATTCAATTGTTAGGTGACCAGCAGCCTACCTGTACGTCAGCTGGAGTGACCAGACTGTCAAAGTTATTACCAAATTTCAATAACCTCTCGGCTCTGCACCTTAACCTGAAAACCTGCGCTGAGGTCCTTGTTAAGCAGTTGGTCGCCGTTATCACGCACCGCATGGTCAGAATACTTCAATTGAAAGAGGTAGATTTGGCCGAAAATACCGCCATTGTTCTTGGTGGCTTTGTGTGTAAGATGTCAGCTCTAAAGGTTCTTGTTATAAACGGAAAGATGAACGAATTGGGACTGGCGGGGATGCAAGCTTTATTCGGGGGATTTTCGCAAGAAATTCCTTTAAGAGAACTTGAGATCAGCTGTTTTCGTGTTGGCAAGGATGGTCTCCGATTTCTCCGCAACAGCTTCCAGTTCTTCCCTCGACTTTTTAAACTTCGACTTGTCAATCTTGCGATTGATGATAGAGATGTCTGTTATCTCTTGGGTAATGTTTACTTTCCAGAATTACACAAACTGAATTTGTCGTACAATCGGCTAGGCCATGGGATTACCTCTATTGTAGGCCATATTGAGTGTTTCCCGAAGATATGTCAACTCGTCCTGGAAGATGTCAACTGTTCCGAAGAAGACAAGGAGTTCATAATCGAGAAAGTCACGATGGTTCGGCCAAGGTTTGGTATTTTCCCCATGAAAAAATGGCACGGGGCGTTCCAGCCCTAATCACTAATCCAGCAAGTCGGTATGGAAATGTTTAGGTTCTTTCCCTAGACAGCTTTGTTTATTTCGATGCAAGAAGCGACGTTGACTGAACTCAGTTTGGGGTTGCTTTGTTGAAGGTATGGGTTTACACGTATTTTTGACGAGAAAGGAAGAAGTTCGAATGGAAATATTGCTCAAACGTTAGAAAGTAGACTCAACTGTTGCTGCAGTTGTTGTTTCTTTTATCTTAAGATAACAAACACATGCTTTCTATGTGGTTTTGTTGTAGTGCGACGATAAAAAGCTATTCCTTGACCGAATTTTTTTTGCCTGGGAGTGCTGTATTCTTGATATCTTTTTGTTAGATTGTTGCTAAAGTTAAAACATAGGCATGATACGCATGCAGGAGTTATTATTTTAGACATATGGGTTGAAATGGGACACGTAGTAACTGATGCTGGTATCTGAATAATTGTTGGCAATAATAAGCTGCATTGACACCACGCTTCCTGCAGTCCCCTCCATAGCCCTAATTTGAACTCTTCACGCAACGCTCTCTCTCCAACGTTGCGTGACGAGACCAAACAACGACCTGCTCGAGAAAACAAGGGACAGCGAGAGTTGTCTTCGTCTTGAGAATGTCTTTCTTTTTATCAGTGGATTGTCTCCTGATGGAACCGGAGCCGAGTTGGTTTTAGGGCACCTAACAGATGTCAGTCGGGACGACCGAAACCTTCAGTTTAAGCAGACAGTTGTTTTGCCGGAAAAAAGCGAGAAAACATGCTATGATCTTAGTTACCGTCACTTAAGATTTCACGACTTGGTGTTTGCGTTATTTGATGAAGCGCAATTGAAAGAAAGGCTTCTAAGGCATTGCCTTTCAAGCACAGATGGAGTGATGATACTTTCCCAAAGACTTGTGAAGAACCTTTTGGAGTGCAACGATAGTATTCTCCAAATGGATAATGCAACTGTAATGGTCAAG